ACCTTGTAAAATAATGTTAAAAAATTATATATAATGCAATTCTTACATACATTTTTTTTTTTTTTAAATTCGTAATTTTCTATTAATTCAGGATATTTGTTAAGTTTGCGGGAGTATAATGGAAAAGTAACCCTTTTTTCTATCAGCAAGATTTATTTCTATTTCATTTTAAAGATTAATAACAATATTTCTTCCCTTTTCATTTCTCATTATCTTGTAATTATATCACCAACTCTTTTTAATACATGTATATTTCTCTACTACTGAACTAGTTTCTTTCTAGTTTAGATTTAATGATTTGCACTGGTTTTTCAATTGTAAACTGGTGCAAATGTTACCAATGCAAAAGTTTAAAAATCTGCAATCATCTGAGGCGAAGGAATGAATCAATAATATATTTTACAGAAGTTCCTAAAGGAGAATTAGGTTTGGTTTACAAAGATTTCAGATGACCTCTAGGAACAAACTATATTCGTTAACTGAGGTTTCACTGTACTTACAGACAATTTAGATACTGAAGTTACATTTGAAGATACACACAAATCCAAATTTCATATATATACATAAATAGAAATTTCATATATATACAGAGAGAGAGAGAATTAAATTACATGAACTTTTGTAAAATTCAACAAATTACATTACATTACAAAAACATTAAAATCCAACAAATAGTAATATAGCAAAAATACAAAATCAAAAACTTCTCACACATACTCTTTACATTAATATATTTTTCTTACAAATAATACATATAATATATACAAATAAGACTTTTTAGTGTAATTTAATAATTTTTTCTTTCCTCTACGTCTGTTTTTCAAGCTGTTATTTATACTTTTCAGCTTATAATATATCATAAGCTGAGCATATGAACTGACAATATATTCCCACATTTTTACTGCATGATAATGGCATGTAAGCCATTCATGATCAATTAGTTTCAGTTGGGATATAATTTTGGATTTCACATCTTTTTGGCTACATATTTTATCAAACAAAGTTACAAATTTTTCACCCATCTCACAAACAGTAAATGTAAACTGTTGTGAGGGGTAACACAATCCATTTTTCACTACATCAAATTCTTTAAAATACAAAAAGTAAGTGTGTTCACCCAAAGATTTATCAACAAGAAGAATATTCTTACATAAAGTGCAAGGAAATTGCTTCAATGCCCTTCCAGCAATATATCCAGCAACATAAGCTGCTGAATTTTGTGAAAATACATCATATGATGTACTTGCAATACAAGCACTAGTATCAGAATTTTCATTTGCTACCAATAAGGGATCATCAAAGTCAATTTCCATATCATTTACATCACTGCCATTTCCAGGCTCAGTGTTATCGATAACTGTCAGCAACTCTGTAGGTATCAAAACTGTATCGTTATCAGGTTCACAGTTTGATAGCTTACTTGTGCTTATGATATTCTGTGCCATTAGTATTCTCATCCTCTGTTGAAAATCATATGCAGTTGGATGGTCATTATTTCCACCTCTGCGTCTAACAACAGAGAAAAAATTTTTCAAAGCATCTTGAGTTACACATTAATACAAATGGTACATCTTCCAACAGAACTGGAATTAACTGCTGAACTGCTGATAGTGTTAATTTCCAGCCAAATATACTTGGGAAAGATATTTTTTTTTTCTGTTTGAAATTCAATGCCTTTGATGAAATCCATCTTTTCCTTCCAGGTTTTTAAGTGAATCGATGACTTGGTAACTCCTGCAAGAAAAGGATTAGAGTGCTTAAGTGTTCTACTGTTCAAACTGTCAAATAAAATATTTATGTTTGAACAGAAATCTGCTGTAAGACTAGCCGATGCGGGTAAGCCATTTAGTGCACTAAGGTAACACAGGCCTGAAGCCACAGAATGACTGAAGACCTGAGCTGCTAATTTTACACTCATAGCACTAAGGCAATCCACATTTACATGGCGGTCTGTTAATTTCGGAACACATCTGTGAGGCATTTTACGATCAAATTCCCACAAAGATACAATGTGGTTCCAACTAGCAATTTTGCCACCCTGAAATTTAACATCATACTTTCTAAAATTATTTCGCAAGCACTTCAAAAGGTGAGGCACATCAAAAAGTGTGAATACCTTTTTGTCTTGACATATAATATATGGTCTTTCTTCTGTGACTTTCATAAATTTTTTGTAACAAACTACATTGTTTGCACCACCATCACAAACAACAGCCACAGGTATCAAACCACAATCAAATAATTTTGATAGGGCTTCCATGACCAAAGTACACAACATAAAACCTGGAGTAGTGTGAGAAGAAAAAAAATAGCCAATGACCTGTTTCCACTTTTTACACAGCCCACGGACCATAAAAACAAGACCATGAGTTGCATATTCGGGAAACATTTTTAGTTCAGTGTAGGAACCATAATTTTCAAATCCAACAATGTAATCACTTTTCTTATCATAAGATAAGCTTTGCTTTAAAGTGATTTCATCGAAGGATAAGATGCAATACCTGTCATGGATTTTCAGTTTGCTAGCAACTAATTTTATGGCATTGAGCACAGCAACTGAAAATCCAGGTTCCATTTTTATACCAGATACAGCTTTCAATAATGTAGGCTTGCTGGGCAAATGCAAAAAAGCCTTCAGTGTATTATATGATTTTGGACTACTAAGATAGATCTGAAGGCACAAATTTTTATCCATCAGTGACCATCTTCGTCCGTATTTTGACACATTTGATGCTTTTATTTGTGATTTTATAAAAGTGAAAACTACAGAAAACTAACTAATGAGCTAATCAGCTGGAGTGCCTTTTCGACTCCAGCTTTGTTTGCTTTCCTTTTTGCTGAATGTTTTCGTTTTAAATATGCCAGCTTATGACTTAACTGCCTTATTTTTAAAGATTTTGGTGTTAAATTTTTGTTGCATTTTAATCTTTTTGGCGTCTCGGTGATATTATTTAGTTCTATGGAGTGCTGCTGTGAACTAAGTTCTAGAGAGCCAGAATCTGTTTGTGAAGTGCCAGAATCTGTTTGTGCCAAAGGACTTGAATTTTGATTATCATCGATATTGATTGCATGCTGCTGCAATTTTGAGCACAACTTCATAGACAGCTGATGAACATTTACAACTCTGTCGTTTCTGGACAGCTCATCAGCTAGGAAGGAAAAAGAAAATTTATATATATATATAACAAGACTAATGCATAATAATTCATAATATAATCATTATCAATTAATTATTTTATGAATATTTCATCTCTAAACAAATAAATATTTAACTAACCTTTAACACGGTTTGACATTTAGTTTTAAGAAAAGAAGTTTTGGTTAATCTTCGGATTATGGTAACTTGGCGATTTTTTGGCGACCAACCCTGCTAGTTGTTTTTTTTTTTTTTTTTGGACGCCATTTTGTTTTGACAAAGTAAAGGCATTTTTTTTTTTTTTTTTTTTAACTACTCAACATTTTTTTCCAACAATTTGCTAGCCGAATTACGCTTATGCTAGAACTTTTATGGAACAAAAGTGCTTAATCATCACGAAGATTAGGTGCGAAATTGGGAGAAAGTGCAGAATCGCCCACTGCTTGCAGCGTTAAGAATTGCACATACACGGTATCATCCATGTATACGTCGATCTATTTTGACTTAAAAAAACATCACAGAATTGCACAAAAATGGCATTGCGTACACTCTTGACTTTATCCATTTACACTGCTAAAGTCCTAGCTAGTAAACTTTATCGCCTTACCAAAATGTCGCCAAACTACCAGTTACCATATTCCAAAGATTAGCCGAAGTTTTAATTTTATTTTTAATTATCGTTAATTTCATTTATCCTGAGTTTGTAAATCTGATTCAAAGCCTAAAATTATACTTTGCGTAAATATATTCTGCTACATCATATTCTAAGAACATTCTGCTATATCCATAAAGGATTTACTAAGGAAAATTTAATGGATTTTAAAAAAGGGTTACTTTACATTCTCTCATACCAAAATTGACTATGTAAGAAACAGCAGAAGAGTCCTTTCATAATAAATAAAGTTATATTATTTATGTAAACAAATGAAATTTCTGTGGGAGATTAAACTAAATTATCCTTCAGAAAAAGATTTATCACTCTTTTTAAAGACAGCAGACTACTCTCTTTCTAAGATAACATAGTAAGTTGTTGATCAGTACAATATATAAGAGGTTAAATTTTTAAAAATTTTTGAAATATATAAACTTGAAATTAATGCATACCTGTTTCACCAAATTTTGTTGGTTTAGCACTCGAATGCAAAAAATGCTTCTTAGTTGTGGAATATGCATTGTCTTCAAAATGTGCGGAACAAAGACGACTTCGATATAAAAGAGAAGGTGGCTTCTTTAATATTTCCTTGTCACGTCCAATCAAGTAAATTCTACATGCTTCAAGCCATTGTGCTGATCTATAAAAGTTAAAACAACATGAAATTTACACCTACTTTACACAGGGAACACTAGTTTTAAGCATTCATTTAAAATGTAACTTATTACTGTGCAAAACAAATACATATTTTAGTTTTTCCAGAAATTTGACATGTAGATAACATTTAAGTACTAATTTATGTACAAAAAAAATTAATATTTATGCATTTTACTCAAACTAATGTTAAATTTTTAAGCATTCTGCTTATGAAAAAATTCATTTTAGCTGATGCATATATTCAACTAATGCTTCTACGATTTTGTAATATTTACATAAATATTTTATTACTATTGTATATATAATTAGGCTAAACAGATAAGGCAACATTGAATATCACACAAAGTATGTTAATGAATATAACGTTTTCATTTGAAAAGGAATAATTTTTTTAAATAACAGAAAGTTAAAAAAATTTCTTCATCTGTCATACTGTACTTATTTTCATGCATTTTAAATACTTATAACTTAAAATAAAAATTAAATTTTTACCTCTCTGGATTTTTAGGAAACCGAAAGAATTTTCTTTCAGGAAAATACCAAGAATTGGCATTACACACCACACAACGCACATAAGCCTTTGGTGAAGGATCATTTAACCTAAATGAATTATTATTATAAAGATTTAAATCACATCAGTACAGAATATATAAAAATTGAATATAAAAATAAAATATGGATATTTAATAATTAATTTACAGAATACATTTAAGTTGCAAGGTTGAAATAAAATAAAAAAAGAGCCAATGAATATCATGACACCAGAATTATGCAGCTAATTTACTTTAATAATTTTATTTTTAAAACTGGAAAAATTATTAAAAAATTAATTTAAAAAATAATTAAAAATTGGGATAATATTGCAGTTCTTAGTAGCAAAAAAATGATATCTGTGAATAGTTTATTATAAAGATTCTTTGATTATAAATAATGCTCAATGTATAGAATTAGAAAATATCATGAACTAAAAAATTGATACCTGGTTAAACGAAAATAGAAGAAGTTGCAATATACATTACATATAACTGCAGGAAAGATCGGATATGAAGAACTGAAATAATTTTCATTAGCAATCATAGTAAATCATCCATGATTGCTTGATTTTATCCTCGCAATTATATACAAATATACTAATTTTGCGTAAGAAGCTTTGATAGAGATTTTTCGAAATACTTCTGATTTCTTTAACAGTAGGAATTATAATTTTTCAATAAAATGTTCCAATGAAACTTTTAACTTTTTTAATGCCAACTTAATTAATAATCGTTCATTACATGATATTTGATTACCATCCCATGTTATGGAATGGATTTGAACATAACTCTGGTAATTAAAAAATAATTCTACTATGAAAAGGTATAAGAATTAAATATTTTTACGTACCTTTCACACGCAGGATCACTAGAGCGTGATTCATTATTTTTTTCCGATTCCAAATGTTCAAAATTGCTGAAATCCTCGTGCTTAGCGTTCAATATGGCGCGCTATGACGACTTCTACGATGTTGTTGACAAACTCTCTGGCTCTAGCGCGCATGCGTGAATGAATTTCAGAGAACCTGAATTTACGCCTGTAAAGTTGTCAAAAAAGACACATTTTAGACTCAGTTTCTCTCCATGGCGTTGCTGTGCAGTCGAAGCTTGACTTCTTCTCACTATAGCTTCTTTGGTTAGAACTATATTAATCCTGCTCGTATGCCATTGGTCAGCAAAGATAATGTAACGATGACGTAGGTACACTTCCGGTGATGACGTACAACACACTTCCGGGTTCCGTTTTGCGGAATTGTAGCTCGTTCAATGATAAACATTTAGTGGTAAAGGCCTTCGGATCGAATACCACTTAACGAATGAGATCTCCGATTATATTATATTCGATTCTACTGAAAGCACCGAGTAACAATACGTTAGTAACGAGTTCTGCTTGATTGAGTAACGAATACATACTGGTACATAATTCCTCGTTACTTTTACAGCACTACTGTTAAGAGTTTGCGGGAACTCCAGTTTGGTCTCAAAATTTGCCATAATCGTGACGTTATTTCAGAGGCGTGTCTTTCAAAGCGTCGCACTTGAATTCGGTTTACCCAACAGCTAACAGGCAGTTGCCGCTGCTAACGTCGCACTTGAATTGCCCCCTAAGATCTAGTTCCCTTAAGATCAAGTCTAACAAAATTACAAAATTTACGGTTTTGAAACAGTCGAAGGTAGATTGCAAAAGAAATTACTGCAGCTGATTTGCTTTCGGTATAAACATATAAGTATTTGATAGTGTAAATTGGCATCATACGGAAATTGCAAATGCAAAACATGGCTGATGGTCAAGAGGTTTCTTGGAGATCGCAAAGTTTCCGTCAAAATGTTAGGGGTAAAATGTAAGTTCGATTGTGCAAAAATTTTTACCGATATCCTGTGATCAATAAAAAATCGTATATATTTGCCACAGAATGCATATCTGCGGTAAAATAATATAAAAATATTTAATATAGGATTTGTTTTTATATATTGTTTATTTCTAATTGAATGTATAATTTTTCCTTAATGAAAATGTTTCTCTTTAATGCTTAATTATTTGCTAAGAAATTTTATTCTAAGAACTGCGTTTTTGTCGTATTCACAAAATTGTTTTTGTTGTTATTTTTTCTAATACGTGCTTTGGTATTAATATTTCTTAAGATAATTTATTATAACTTTAGTTCGAGCTGTATTTTATAGGATTGCTTTGAAAATAAGGATTTATCAAATTTTTTTCACTGCAAAAATCACCTTGCGTAGATTAGTTATTCATTGACATCCATAAAATTCTGCATGAAACATTTATTTCGATAGTGAAACTAGCTATGATTTACTATTCTCTTATGATAAATTAACTGTTCGTTCTTTCTAACATTTCCGTATATGCATTAACGCAAATCTCTATATTATTTTATGCTATTAAGTCATAAAGGTCATCATCCGATAATTTGTAAAGATTTAACAATTATACTTATCGCTGTCAAAATATTTTATTTTTCCAAAATTAAATCATCAGTTGGCAAATGGAATTGTTACTTTTTTTTTTAAACTCAAATAGACTACTGGGTCTTGAGATCATAATTGGATATGTCATTATTATTACTTGTTTTGTTTGTTGCTAGTGTAAAACTTTTTTTCAAAATGAAGTCTTGTAATTCCAGACTTATATCACTTTCCTGGAAGAAACAAGATTACAGTGCAAAGGATTTAAGGCACTTGGTAATACTTTTTTATTGGGGGGGGGTACTTCTTGTAGTAAGCTTGTAGATAAAATTTTAATTGGATACTTATTTACACAAATTGCTTTGGAACTACTCTTATGTATGCTCTTGCTTGGCGACAAATTTCGTACTTTTCTGTTTCGCCAGCGCAAATCTCGCCAAGCAGACTTTATTGGTGACAGCACATAATATACACATAAAAAATATTAACATATGCTGAGGATAAGATATTTTTATTTTGATGGCATAAACATTTTAATATCATTTAAAATTTTGTAAGAAGACAATAAATTTATAAAAAGACATTAACCTTTTGAAGATGGGATGGCCATTATAGTGGTCATAGAGTCCTCTGTTTGAAAGGATGGGGATTGTCCACTTTAGTGGCCATGTCGTTATCCCCATTTTACAGGCTGAAAGAGTGGGGTGAAATGTCAAATTTGACGTCCCTGTGGTTTTAACCACTTATCTCTTTCAAAGGTCTTTGTGTTAAAAATCCCGGTTTTCCCCAATTTTTCCCTTTTAGTTCTTGTAGCTACATAGCTACAGAATCCGTGATAACTGCGTTTGTAAATTGTAAACAGAGCATTGCGTTGCTTTAGAATATTTCATATTTTCATAAGTTTTTTAGGAATTATTTTGTCATTTTTCTAGCAATATGCTGAAACCGGAAAAAGGTCTGACTGAAGAAGAAATACGAAAACTTGTTCAAGAACTTGATGATGAAATATATACACATTCATATACAGTCAAAAGTTGTTAATTCGGACACCCATAATCCGGAACAATCTATAATCCGGACCTCAAAGTTTCAAGCTTACTTTTATAAAATTGCTCTAACAGTCTGCCAAAAATAATAAGCTGGATCCAATTCGAAGATTAAGGAACAACGCAATCTGCAACATTAACTGAAATAGATAATTAGATAATTTTAGCTTATATCGTTTGTTATACATTAAACGCGCATGCGTAAACGTATTATGCGCATGCGCACATGTATATTCGCAGCCGTAAAGGTCTTATGCGCACGCGTAAATGCCTATGCGCATGCTTGAACGCGATGTATGCGCAGAAAGTTTTTAGCTGTGAGGTCCAGATTATAGATCATTCCGGGTTATGGGTGTCCGAATTAACGACTGTATTATGTTAGATGGACACACTCCTGCATGTTTTTGATAAAGGCTATCTGACTGCTCTGAAGCATAGAGAATCAGTCATATATCCGAATGTTAACGTTTCAGAGCCCTATTTGGTCCTGCGTTCCTGTGGATGAAGCACTTGCCCACATAGGGCTCGGCTGCTCGAAGATTACCTGAAAAATGAGAATATGTGTCACATGGATTGACCATCCAGATCTCCTGACCTAAACCCTATAGAGCATATCTGGGATCATCATGGGAGAGCAATTTCATCTCATTATCTCCCTTCAAGAACCATCTTAGAGTTGAACACTGTCTCGCTGCGGCAGGATTATCGACTACCACATGAGACTCCTTAGTTACCTTTTCTCCAGTTGGCCATCCTGCTGCATGAGCTGTAAGAAGGAACCATATCCCATATTTGGCTAATTTTCAGTTTGATGTCACAATGTAGATTTTGGACATTATGAGCTTTATTGATAATCATGTGAACGTGAAATGACTTTTGAATAGTATGTCTCTTTCTTTGTTATAAATGTGAATTCATACCAAATTTCATTAAAATCTGTCCGTTAATTTGGTAAAAATATATTTCAGGTTCCCCTTGGCGTAAATTAGCGATTTTTTGGTGCCATACCAGTTTATGTTTAACGCCCTTCTCAGTATAAAATGGCATCCAAAACATAATGCAGTAAAATATAATTAAAACAAAAAATATAAATAATCTTAATAAACTGCATTTTAAATCAAACAAGGGTAAAAATATATTTACGGGTGCCCTTTGGCGGTACTTGGAGACCGAGTTTGTGCAGTTATTTGACTTGTTATTTTGCCTTTGTGTAGCGCCGATTTTTGAGCCAAAAATCATCGCTACACTAATCCAAAATAACAACTCAAACAATTGCACAAACTCGGTATCCATGTAGACATCAACCTATTTTTTAAAAAATTGCTGCTACGCAAATCCAAAATAACAAGTCAAAGAATTGCACAAACTAGGCATTGCGCACTCCCTTGACTTTGTCCATGTACACATCGATCTGTATTCACTTAAAAAGTCAAAGGAGCAGCCAGGAAAAGATATATAATCTCAACAAACTACATTTTAAATCAAACAATGAAATAACATAAAAAAGGAAATTCTTCTTAGTACTACACAAGGAAAATACCCACGTACCTTATTTACAAATTTCCGTGTCTTTAGTCAAATAACATTCCTTAAAAGCATCCAAAAACTTCCTAAAATTATCTGAACTAGAGTCTGTATACTGGCGTCGCCACATTAATTCGCAAAAATTATCCTTCATAGTGCCGGTATTAACTGACGTTCGACCATACGCATTTCCTTCCTACAAACAGGACGCTTATAATGGCTACTGAGTAAACCTTCCTTTACACTCCTGTCAATTAATGCTTTTTTCCGTTTCATTCCAAATCGTATAGAAACTTCAAATTAATCTTACCACATTCAGCCATTTTACTGTGTAAACCACAAAAGAGCAACGTACTTCTTATCCAAAATCCGACACACACAAGCCTTTCCTAATCTTTTCCTGCCATTCAAATTCACCGCAAACACAGCCAATTACATCATAATAGGGTTTCCATAGCATTCAGCTTAACATTAATGAAACAACTTAGCAATATCCAAGGGGCACCCTTAAATCTACGCTAAAACAAGGAAATAATAGAATAGAAATACATGTTATCTAATCTATGCTGTAAAAAAAGGAAATATCAACTTGCCTTATTTAGATATTTCTATTTCTTCGATATATGTGACACATAGAATTCCTTAACAGCATCCAGAAACTATTTAAAATTATCTAAACTAGAATCTGTATACTGCCGTCGCCACATTAATTCACAAAAGTAAAAATGAAAAATATCCTCCGTACTGCAGGACTTCAGTAGCATTTCTTTTGAAAATCCCTTTTTATTACACCCCAGATAACTTCCATAGTGTTGACATGAGCTCCTGTTTCAAAATCCTTAAATCTCACTGTTTAATTTACCGAGAGGTGAACGAAGCCATTTAAATCTTCATTTACACATCATCCAATCAATATTTTCTTTTCCAACCATTCCAAAGTGTACAGAAATTTCAGGTTGATCGTACTACCAGCAGGCATTTATGGTGTAAAGCACAAAATAAGTAACGCACTTCCTAATCAACATCCATACCTAACTCCCTTGCAAATATTTTCCCATCAGTCAAAATCACTGCTATCACTCATTACAACCAATCATGTCATAACAGGTTTCCATAACATTCGACTACTCAGGTTACCATAACATCCAACTATTCAGGTTACCATAAATGAAACAACAACTTGGCGATAATCCAAGATATCCTAAAATATAGACTAACTGTTAATTTTTCAGAAGTTTGACATAATGGGCAAATTTTCTTAATTTTATATGCAAGTGTATTTACATCTAACAAACTTGTCTAGTCCAGTACTGTGGCTTCCAGAGGTGCACAATAAGAATACATAAGTAAGAAGCCAAAGAACCTTTCCACACCTGACCATTATCTAACGAATAGTGCACTATAATAAAACAAAAATGATCGAGGTATGTTGTATTAGATGTGTTGAATCAATTGATATGGCTCAATTTTTTGATTTCTTAATTTCATTGTTAAAAATGTTAAACAGTTAATGATTTTTTCACTAATCATTTCAAAAAATTCATCATTGTTGATGATAAATAAGTTATGAATTTCCTTTTATGCTGTATTTTTTATATATGAGCTATTAAATGTTAATTAACCTTGGCTAGAAAATCCAGTGCTCCAGTTAGTTTTCTTTGGTAATCAAAACATTATTTATCACCACAAAATGTAAGCAAGTGTTTCCCTAAAAATTTTATAGTTTCAGTCATTTTTGGTAACTCCAAATTAAGAGTTATCTTCATCTGTTTCAGTATGATTGTATGTAAAATTTCTTGGTACAAATGTTGTTATGGAATTCTTGTGTATCATTTAACTCTTACTTTTTCCCAGTCTCCGTAGCATTCATTAAAGTATGTCTTATTGGCAGAAAAAAGGTTTGCATTTATAGTAATAAAATAATTTATTATTACTAATGTACAATAATTATTCTTTATCTTGCTAAAACTGCTTATGTACAGTAAAATATGTGTTTCTGTAATGGTCTTATAATTTCCTTTACAGTTTTGATTACTGTTATTTTTCAATGGATTTATTAAACATACATTTGACAGGGGACTATTTTTAGATATGAAATCTAACATAACGGAAGTAAAATGTTTTAGCCACTTAAAGTACTTTCTGATTATCTGCACCTCCACTGAAATGCTTTAAAAGTAATCTTGAGACAATGTTGTATATAGCCAAAATATTTCTATGGCAGCCATCAGTATTGGTAGAAAACATTTATCTGACATACCCAGGTGTGTGTGGATTTGCACTTCTGAAATTCAGACATCATTTTTGTGGTTGTTTCTTTTGGTTAATTGTTGCCAGCATGAATATTGGTGATCAACAAAGTTTATCAAATGCCAGTGTAATTGAAATTTTTATCATTGTGAATGTATGATATGGAATGGCATCATTTATGGATTGGGAACTTCTCGAAAAAGAAGTCTGAATAACCAGTAAGACCTTTCTTTTTGCATTGATTTTATTTGTCTTTCTTGTATTATAATACAGTGTTTTGCCGCAGAATCACGAAAGCGAGAGGAATGCTCTGAATCTATTCTTAAAGCAATCACCATAAAATTTCTTAGTAAATAATCTATTGCAGTTATAAGTCATGTTTTTTTTTTTTTTTTTTTTTTCCTTTTGTAAAAAATTGCCAAATTCCACCAAGATGGTTGGACTGATACAAGAGTATTATAATTTTGCTTTATAAGGCTCTTTCATTTATTGTTGACACCTTTTTACTTATGTATTTATTTATTAACATTTTGTTACATACAGAATTTTAAGTAAGTGATACACACATAATGAATTCAACATTCTTCATGCCACTCGTGCAGTGTGAGCTTTCTTTCCATTTCTTTCCAGATGAGGGTTTTTTTCATCTCCTGGTCAAGTTCAAAATCTGGATGTGCATTCATTGCTGTGAGCAAACCAATCCTGCATTTCTTCTGACTAGTATTCTATTAAGTATCATGCAGCTTAATGTAATCAGTCCTACCTGCATAATATTGAATACAGAATAACAGAATATTTCCTGTTCGTAATACTCAGAAAACATGATTTGTATATTTTCTCATTTCACTGAAAATGTACTTAATTTAGATTCAAAATAAAATTTGCATTTTTCATGTATCTGCTGTGTAGAAAGAATATTAAATCCTTCTCATTTTTTCATTATATTTAATGTATGCAATTAAGTCATTTAAGCCTGTAGATATTTCCTGGGATCTCACATTTTGTTTATCCAATAGTGAAGAAGCTATTAGACTGTCTGGAAATCCAACAACCAAGAGTGTTGCTGAAATGGAGACTCATGTTTTTCAGAAAGCTAAGACTAAGGTTTGTTTTCATTTAGAAATATTAGAATTCTAACTTATCACAAATTTAAAAAAAAAAATTAAAGTAATAAATAGTGACCAAGTCTAACATTAAATTTTTGCTTCTAAAAAGACATTAGGAATCATTTTCAAGGGATGACTAATTTTTCAGTGAACTCGTATAAAAAATTTTTCATGTATAAGAATATGCATTTATTTATATATTCATGTAAACAAAGCTACATTTATTCATGTACAGTCATCTCTTTTTCTGGAACACCATCATGATGCTCTGAACTCCTAAATTATAACCTAAATTTATTGTGACTACATTTCCTCTAAAATCATTGGCTTTAATATCTGATGTCTTCTAATCCATGTAACTAGCTCATAGTGCTTTGCCAACACAGTTGTCACTAATTTTATCCCTTGAATTCTTCACCCAATTCTTTTTATTTTTTTGCAGACAGAAAGCTTTTACAATGATTTCTGTCCATTCTATTTCCATTTCAGTCCTTTATTTCCATGTGTAAATGGTCCTTGCATGGCTTATTTATTGCAGTATCAAGAGGCTGGAATTATTTAGCCGATCCTAGAATAATCTTTATTTGGTGTATTGTGTCTGCAAGGAAGTGCTTTATGTCTTTAGTATGATGAATGCTGGTTGAATCCTGAACTAACAGATTTTTTATCCACTTCACAAAACAAGTGGCATTATTAAAGCAAGCCACTTCTTTTGTATGTCTGATTTTAGTTATAAATGCCTAAAATATAGTCAGTCCTATTTTTCTTGTCCTTAATTGATAGAGGCAGGGCACCTTCCAGATGAATTCATGAAATACAGGTTAAAAATATTTTTGTAATCAATGGAGGCAATGCAGATTGATAAAGAATACTTTTGATTGATTGTTTCGTAACATTCTTGACTTACAAACATTGGAGTTTCACCTATAGCAGTTATTTTGGGGATTTTGTATTTTAAAAAAGTCTGCCGTAGAATCTTGAATGTAAATATATGTTTAGTAGCATCAGTAACTTCCAGCTAGAACAGTGTTGCTGATCATCTTAGAGACAATTCCTGTCACTGAAGGAAGCCATCTGTCCAGCACTATGATGCTTTGAATTTCTATGCTGGTCTATATGTGATACCTTTGTAAGGGTACATGTTTGAGTATCAAACCTTGAAATTACCAAATCTCTTCTGTAAATAATCTATTCCCAGATGAAGTCCTCTAGCACAGGAAATAATGTTTGCTGACCTTATCTGTTGTTGTGCTTCTTGAGCGTTTTCCTCATCCACCTGTTGATTGAGCTACTGTACTCTGATCACACATTCAGACCATTTGGAGATTCAAATTCTCTTTGCAGGAAGACCGACAAGTCCTTCGTGAGTTCTGTCTTCTGCTCAGCAGAATAGCATTTTCGTTTTTAATTCATCTTGTCTGAGGATGAAAATGTTGTTTCCTTCAAATTTATTTTTAAATCAAGTGTTAATTGATGGGACAGAAAAGGCAACAAAAAATATTAAGAATAATAGACCACATAGAAGTAACAAAAGTTGCTAATATGAAATTCAGAACATGTTTATTTCACAGGAATGCATTAAGTATACATTCAATGTGTCGTGTGTCATGAATTCAATGTCACATGACACATTAAATTATGAAGATTCTAATTAGTCACAACTATGCCTGTTCATTATCGAGTGTGCATATATACGAGGGTTGGAACTTTAATAGTGGCAACTATTTATTTACAAGGAATACAAAAGTGATTCATGTCACCATGTTTTACAGTCCTTCAATATAGTCGCCAGCATTGTGTACAACCCGTTTCCAACGATGTGGAAGTCGCAGAATACCTGTAGCAGCGCCTGTTTTGTTGATAGTTTGAATGGACCGGTCTACTGCCGCAAGAATCTCAGGAACAGTTTGGAAGCGAGTGCCACAAAGTGGTTCCTTCATCTTACAAATTAAGTCATAGTCACAAGGGCTTAGATCTGGGGAGTATGGTGGATGGTAAAGCACTTCTCAGCCCCTGCACTGCATGCGGCCGAGCATTGTCATGCAAAATGAGAGTAGCGTTCTGCAGAAAGTGTCGCCGTTTTTTTCTCAAAGCTGGTCGGAGATTGTGCTCCGAAAATGAGCAGTAATACTGCGCAGTGACGGTCTGCTGTGGGGGAACGGTATGCGTTAAGATGACACCATCACAGTTGTACACGAGAATCACCATAACTTTCACATTGCTGGGGTTCTGACGAAATTTCGAACGTCGTGGTGACCCGTGATGACGCCATTCGTTTGATTAGCGTTTCAGTTCTGGCTGATACTATCGGGCCCAAGTCTCATCCAGCGTAATGATACGGCGTAAAAAAGCATCTCCTTCGCGCTCATAGTGCTCCAGGTGGGTTCGGATAGCATCGTATCGTAGCCATTTCTGCATTTCCATCAATTGATGTGGAACCCATCGTGAAGCAAATTTTCTCATGGACAGGCGCTCCTTCAGAATGTGCAGCACAGTCGTATGTGCTAATCCTGTTTGTCCGGCCAGCTGACGAATCGTTTGGCGGCGATCACTCTCCATTAGTGCGGCAACAGCTTGCACGTCTGCATCGCTGACACTCGGACGACCTGGCCTAAGCATGTCTGACACGTTTTGGCGTCCTTCATTGAATGCTTTCACCCATCTTGCTACGGTTCTGTAAGGCAATGCGGATTCCCCGCAAGCCTCTTGAAGCCCTTGATGACACTGTCGTGCTGTACGACCTCTGGCACATTAAATTTTTATCCAACATCGTTGTTCTTGTTTTGAAAACATCCTGACAACAATTACTTTAGACCGCGAGCTAATACAAGGATCCGTTCTTCGCGTCACTCCACACGCGCGTGACGTAGGCAGGACGAGTCTTTTTGCTGAGAGGTAAGGTAGGTATGTAGTTGACATGTGGTATACGTGACATTCTTTGGTTTTGTTACGTAGCGTTTTTTCAGCTGTGTTGCCACTATTAAAGTTCCAACCCTCGTATTATGCCTTCACTCCTGTTGATCATTTAGCAATAAGCTTGTCACCTATCTGGCTGATGATCTTAACTGGGGATAGGGTTTATAGTATAGTACAAGCACAATAAAATTAAAAAAAAAAAAAAAAAAAAAAAAAAACTTACTAGGAATAGGTCTTATTTTGGGAGAATCGTAGTGATTAAAGTTTTCTCCAGATTGATCATGCTGCTATGAAAAACCTTTGTAGAAATAACATTTCCTGTTTATTTAAATCATATTAATGAGATCTGAAGTAGTTTTTTGATATCATAAGGTTATTTAAAAAATTATGCAATTAATATGTTCTCTTAGAAAATGAAAAATACATTATTACTTTTGTTCATGTCTATAAATAAAAGCATGGTAAAATTTCTCATTTTTAAATTAATGTATAAAAACATTCTACAGATGTTACTGAATGATGGTAGTGTATTCTTTGTTTTTAGTTTGAGGGAAAAAATATTTTAGATGCAACTAAAAAAGCTTTAAGAAATATATAAATTGCTAAAAAATAAATCTTGGCCTTTTTAATAATTTCTGAAATCTTAGGTATGAGAAGAATGCTGAAATTGCAACTATGTCAGTTATTTTGATAATTTCTGTATTAGGTATTAGTTTTCCATATTTCAATGTTTACCAATTTGCATATTTTGTATATATGTATTTGAATTTCTTACTTTTTGAATTTTCGTTTGGTAAATATTAAATGCATTAGAGTTATGTTCATTATATATGATTCAGGTTTCAAAATTTAAAACTCTCTTCCTTGTCTCTTCTTAGTTTTCATATTATAGGCCCTATAGCATCACTTTTCTTTAAAATCTACAAGTTACCCTTGTTTTTCAGAGCAAGGGAATTCAGAGCATTCTTGTGAAACCTTTCATAAGCTAAAATGATATAAAGTGAGGAAATAATAACAAGGGAATTCGGAACATTCTTGTGAAACCTTTCATAAGCTGAAATGATGTAAAGCAAGGAAATAATTGTCATTAGTTTAGATGGCAGAAATCATGTGTGCTACCAGGCCTTTATTAAAACATATGAAATCATAGAAACTGTTATTAAAATTAAAAATAACATTAGAACATGATTTGTATTAATGAAAATAACTTAATAAGAAATAATATGCAGTATAGTTTTTGCCATCCAAACTGAAAAAAGAATAAGTATACTGGAACACAGCACTAATGATATTTGTATTGAGTCATCATAAAGACTCATAATGAGTCATCAAGACTCAAAGCTTGCCATGTTGGAAGAAGGAGAGAAATATCAACCATTAATATCTTAACGTCATTTAACATATTAAACCATATAAATATATTAAATATTTTTACAGCAAAAAACTGTTATTTTGGCAATCCCAAATTTCACAAGCTGAAAGAACAGGAACGATGTACAAAGTAAAATTTTTTCCTCAGTCACCATTTGGCAGTTTAGTTTTTGAGGTTGTGCATTTCATTTAGCAACAGATTGCACCAAATTATCCTAGTGCCATTTTCTGCATCTCACCAAGGACACCATAAAAAGGAAATATCAATTATACATTTATGGGTAAATAAAATTTTGAACCATACTTTTATTTTCACATTTTTTTATAAAATGGAAAATTTTATTTATTTAATGTTAGCCCAAAAAGCTGCTAATTTCTTATTTCTTGAAAGCAGAATTTGATAATGTGGGAAGTAACTGTATCAAAAAATTGCTGTTTGCATACTTTCATATTTTCTTAAGAGGAAATTACATTGCACGAAAGAAAAAATTAGACAATTCTATATCTTCCGTTCTACTGGGCTGATTGACGAAATTCAACTTGTGTTTTTCATTTCTTGAAAGTTCAACTTAGGATATATAGTAGATTTATATATAGCATTATGGTACTACTCTTATATATGCCCTCAGTCGGCGACTGATTTCTCGCCCAACATTTTTGGTGAGTAATTCCATGACACCACATTACCATCTAAATTTTTTGTCTACATTTCGAAGCCTAATATGTCTGCAAAAGCGTGGTTTCACATGTGCAAAAACCGCATTTTTAACACACAATTTACGGCAAAAATCCGAGACAAAAAAATTTAGATAGCTAAAGCGTAAAGTTTCTAACCAAAAATATTTGACGAGAATCCATGTACAGAGCGATCTATTTCAACTTTAAAAAACATCAGAGAATTGCACAATCTATGCAGTGAAGGAATCTAGGAATTACACACACCTCTCTAAAATAAACTAACATAACATCAATAAATTTCAAACAATACAATGTACACAGCATTCTATTTTAACTTAAAAAAATCAGCAAATTGCACAATCTAGGCACCGCACACAAATCAACAAAATAAATTAAAATAACCAAAATAAATTACAAACAATTCAGAAAACAACAACAATGATAGAAATTCATAGGAAAAAAAAAGGACATAACATTCTACAAAATAAGAACAACAATAAAATAAAATGCACTTACCATTGTGAACACTTCTTCAAACAGCAGAAATATCAATTTCAAACACCAGCAAAACAACAATTCAAAACAAAACAAAAAAAAAAAAAAAAACACAAACACTTTCATCAAATATTTTACAAAGAAATTTTCAATTTATCCCACTCAATAGATCTTACAATTTCCATAAATTTGTTGAAAGGATCTTCTCCATCTTAGAACAGTAATGAAAAAACATAGAAACCACCAAATAAAACTCAAAATCGCATTTCCGATTATAAGTAGGCAATTTAGCTTTAACATTCCACCACATACTCTCTATCGTATATATATATATGACAGCCACATTCACTATCCACAAAATTAATACTATGTTTCACAAATCCTTTATCCTTGTAGCATTTCCAGCCATCTGAAAAAATAGTTGTACCAGGCACGGAACTGAAATTTTGCCACCACGGCTTTCACTGCAACATAAAACATTTCAAAATGCCCACCAACCAGCAAATAAACCCACTATAGCAAAATTAAGTTTCCACATCAAAACGGTTGCCATACAAACAACATCGCTCCAAAAACCATCACAGAACACACAATCCTGCCAAAAATCAGCGCAGAACATATATCGCCACATTTGGCGACCTGAGGGCGTATATAAGAGTTGTACCAGCATTGTTCTACTATAGGTATTTTGACACAAAATTTAACTTTTTCTGAAATGACATGCCATTTTTATCCCGTATTTTGATTCTACAGCTCAAATTATGCCAAACTGCCAAGTTTTATAAAAATCAAACGTGTAGTTTTTAAAAAATTAGCTCTCAAGATTTTAGCATATTAATGTTAATTGAATTTGATATATATTTATTAATACCTCTTTTTTTTTATTAAACTTACATGCTTCTTCCTTTCATATTTCAAAATTTAGGTTTATTCAAAATAAAATTCACCAATTATTTATTTTTAAATAATTTTAAATAAAAAATAATTATAACCTATAACATTTTTGACTTCACAAACATCTTTTGGAAATTTGTAAGGTGTACACCTAGAAAGTCTTGCATTCCAATTGAAAATATTGTGTTGTATGTGACAAGTAATGCATTAAATGCATTAGCTTTGATTACAGCTTTTTTTTTTTTTTTTTTTACTCTGACAAGTGTTGATAAAAGTCTAGTCATAATTATGAGAATATCGTGCTACTGCTGTGGCTGAGTTTAGACTATTGACTATACATGACTGCCTGGGTGCTCATTTGTTTCGTTTGCGTGATTCTGGATAAGTCATGGATGCTGATCATCTGGACGTTAAGAGTTGGGACTGTATTGTAAAGAAGTATTGGAGAGTTCGTTGCCTAATGACCTGATGGTCAACAGCCAGGCATTTCATAAATAATTCTGAGAATACAGTTATACCTTGAGAGAATCTGTCCATTATTACCTTCATGCAGTCCAAAAAAACATTAAGATTATATTATCATCATGAGAAAAAAGAGGCATATCAGAAAATTTCGACACTGATGGAAGGTTTTTAAGTATTTAGAATGCTACGTGTATGCAGAGCTATGAGAAATTAAAAGTTGAAGCTACAGTTAAGCAGCCTCCTATAAAAAAATCTAGCATGTTGTATTTTTGTGTGGATACAGTATTCTATAGTTACATATTATTCCATCAACTTTGAACGTTTGCTTCCATCGAGCCATGAAAGATGGAGGAGATCCCACCAAAGTCACATGAATCATTTTTCCAGAATTCTGCGCCACACTTCTATCTTGAATTCTTACAATAAAACATTCATCAGTTTGTCTGCACAGTCCACCAAACAGCCTCTGTTGTGGAAGTATTTGTGTTTTATAGAAAGGTTTTTGTAAATTTCTACTGTTTCATTAGGCCCTTTGATTTTAATGAAAGCTCTGTTTACAAATTTCCAGGAGATTATTGTTATGATACATTACTGTTTTGTCTGTAAATGAAGGGGAGTGCAGTCACAAATGCGATTCAACCACTCTCAAACTCATCCCCCCCCTAAATTTCAAAGGGGGGAATATAACATTAACAGCTAATTCATATCCTTAATTATAAAACAAAAGCTTGTTGAGAATCCATTAGCATTACATCAAATGAAAACGCGGGTGTTATAAGTGTGTTGTGACATCATGCTTATCCATAAATGGGGCTAAATCACACTGCTTGGCAACAGTTACGTGGTCAGGCGGATAATACGTTAAGTACTGCAAGTTCTTATGTGAAGACTCTGTATTCACCCATAATCATCTAGGAGAAAAAGAGTGATTGTTGACTCGTCACTGTGCAGAGTAGACTTCCTCTATCTCAGTATCAGGGCTCTATCTCAGTATCAGAAACTCATTGGCATTGCCATAGCCAATGAGTTTCATCAGATTTATATATGAAAGCTTTGTTGCAGTGTCTGAGCTGGTGGAATTTCACATGCAAAATTTTTAGTTTGCATATGAATATTTTTTATATATGGATATGTTTAAGTGTTCTTTTGCTATTTAGGACTTGCATTTGACCTAAGTATAATATCATTTTGGAGTGCTTTGATGTTGTTATAGCTACTAGTTGAGATGTAATGTAAAAAACCATGTCTCCAGAATTGTATAGTTTTAGTATTGTGCTCCTCTGTATACACTGGAAAGAGAACAATTCAATAATGAAGCGAAAAATGAGCTTTGTGGAGCTCTGCATCACACATTACATTTAGAAATGTGTCATCTTTTGTATTAGTCATGGCATATAAAGTATGTGATTCACATAAGCAAATTCATTATTAAATAAAGGTCATCGACAATGCTTTGATTAGTAGTATATTATTGAATAAATCTTTAATAAAATGGCCATAACAGCAGCTGAGTCATAAAGACCATTGAATACTGAGAGTTTGAGCCAGGTTTTGTCCTAGGTGAATGAGCTGGCTGCATGTTTGATTTTCATGGTTTTTCTCCATGTGTAATATATGAATAAATTTCCCTTAAAAAGACCTCTTATCCCAGCCCTTGTGAGCTTTGCCATTCAAATAACCTAGCCTAACCTAACCATAAATAAAAGCAAATATAAATCTTTAATTTAAGCAATATGTTGAGTAATAATATGAATATATAGGTCACTGTTGTTCACTACTTAAAATTTGGACAAAATGTAAATTTATTAATGCATTTTACAATGCATTCAGTACACAGTTCAGTATACAAATTATAAATTCATAAATACTGTTATTATTTGAATTTCTTTTCATAATATCTGCCTAATGTTTACAAGTGGATGAGAATCTTTTAACCATATTTTTGAATGTGTATAATATAGATTTGTAAGTATCCTAATAATTCAGAAATACCTTTCTTAATATATATCAAGCAAGGTAGTTATTACAATACTGAATGACCAATTTGGTGTAGATAACATTTTGCGCAATATGCTGCAAAATAAGTAAATTAGAAATTGTAGTAGTAAGCTCGCCTAAAAGTTCTTTCTTAATATATATATATATATATATATATATATTAAGAAAGAACTTTATATATATATATATATATAGTTAAAGATATTTGTTATTGTATTATATTTTTTTTTTGTATCATCTAGAATCTTTTTTTATGTTTGTGTGTATTTTTTCCATGTAGGAAGAATATTTGGGTTTTGTTGCTAGGCTAATAATACATGTTAGAGAAACGAGTAAGTTACATATATCTTTATAACTGTAGTTTAATTTCTATGTAATCTTCATATTATAATTTTAGCTCATTGATTGAGAGAACGGATTTACAGGAGCTATTTTTCCAGTTATAAGGGTGATGTTCTAGTTTGTTTTATGTGGTATGTTACTGGTAATACATGATTAAATATGAAAGCTTTTTGTAGCTTGTAATAGTAGAGAGAATGACGCCATGGTATCTGGATTTCTTCACAGGTCCAAGTGATTGGCACTACAATAATAAGCTGAAAAATTATTCAAATATGAATTAATTTATGTTTTATTACTCAACCACAATCATTTTTTTAGTAAACATTTATTGCTTGGTTTTCATTAATTCCAGAAATTTGTACTAAAAGTAATATAGCTGAATTGATTGAAGAATTAATTACATCAGTTTATTCTCATAAGTACTAAGATCACAAAACTGAATGTATTGTTTTATGACATTGAAATTTATTATTGCAATTAATGTGCTGAATTTGATTCACATTTCTGGTATTGAGCTTCATAGATTAAACCTGTGTAGGAAACACCACATTATGGACATCAGTAATTCTCTTCTGTTTCGTTTTAATCTGAATGACAACTTTTGCTACTCTTACTTTGCTGTAACAAATTTTCCATAGTTAATTAACCTCTTCTTCGTCCGTAACGCATCTGGCGCATTCAAGTGAAACTTCTGCAGGGTGGCCGTAATGCGCCTCAAGCGTTCTCAAGCACGTTCAAGTGGACCGCCTGGATCAGATGTTATCAAATTATCCTGCTGTTAGAAATAAGCAGGATATTATTATTTTCCCATTATGCTTTATTTCCTTATAATTTTACTTAATATTCATTGACATTCATCCACTACGAACGTCATGTATGGAAAGTTATGATGTACAGAGAAAACAACATTACACGCTACAAAAAACAGACGGCCGCTAGGGGAGGAATTTTCGCGGACAGGAGAGGACGGCGAAAGGGTTAACTACCACCTAAAATTTCTTTCAGCAGACCTAATACTCAGAAGTTTATTAGAATAGCATCTGGAGCTTAAGAATATTTAAAAATTAAGTGCACCTTATTATCATATCTCTCCATTTAAAGTTTGGCTTGCTGCACTTTTAGTTTCAAAGCTAGCTGTTGGACAAATTAGATTATATTTCTGACCTGTTGTAATCACATTTAATTTATCTTAAAACTAAGCAGTCGATTTCATTTATGATATTCCTAGAATAACTAGAGTTGTTACTAGACAGATTAAGAGAATCATTAGCTTAATTTCATTTTCTTAAAAAACTGGAGGGTAAAGAAAAAGTAAAACAAGACTTTTCTGATTTGTTCAATAGTTTATAATAAAGCAGCAAATGAATTGTTTATTATCAAAAGGATATGCAAAGAGATTTAAAGTTTTGAATTTATTGTGGAAATTAAGACAAACCATTTCAGATTATTCTGAGGTAAAATGGTTTCAAACTGCTATAGCTCTGATAATTGATGGTAATTATTAGTAATACTGAAAAATATAATCTTAATACCAGTAAATAACAGCTGTAAATAATCATAGTTTTATTAAAGTAACTGTAATAACATCTAAAATAAATAAAAAAAAAGCTTTATTAAAATTTTTGTTGAATTAGAAGCTAAGTTGTAAAACACTGCAAGTACTTCATAATAATAAAGACTGACTTTGACTTGCCCAACCAATGGCCAAATGGATAAATCTGTAGAGACATTAGGTATATTTTTTGAAGCAGGAAAGATGAAAAGTAGCAAACACCTTCACTGGGAATCGAACCACGGACCTCTGGAATACCAACTAGCGTGCAGAACCATTACACCACGAAGGTATGCTAAGAAGGTGGGAGAAATACCTTATGTACTCCTCCTTTTAAAGGGCGACTGGGGTTTTCAGGGGACCCAATAGCCAAATCCTGGGTGTGGAGAAACCTCATCCAACACCATTTTAGTTTGGGTGCTACTGTAGAGACATTAGGTATATTTTTTAAAGGAGGAAATATGAAAATTAGCAAACACCTTTGCCGGGAATCGAACCACGGACCTCTGTAATACCAGCCCAGCATGCGGAACCACTAAACCACGAAGGCATGCTAAGAAGATGGGAGAAATACCTTAGAAATCCACTAATCATTGGTATTTGACCAAAGCTCAAATTCTGGTGAGTGGGTGAGCTGAATTAGTGCTTTCTTGTTTTTGTAATGTGAATGCAATCCAATTTCCTATGGAAAGTCCTCCATTGAGGTCCTCGCCTACTTTTCTTAATGAAATAACCAAACCAAATCAACAATTTGTTGTATTATTAATTATGTAAATTATTTAATATTTAAAATGAGACAGAAAATTCAGTATCACTTATTTTATATAATTTTCATTTTGTTATTATTGTTTAATGCTTATATTATTACATAAAATTTATATAGGGCACCAAACAAATAAATAAATCGGTGCAATGTGCTGAACATAATAGCATCTTAACATAAATCAGTTTATAAGTTTTATGCATCTTATTTACATCAAATTTAATATTGCAAGAAACAGAAAAGGTAAATAAAGCCTCACTATTAGGAATTGTACTTGCATATAAAACTGCACTCGTAATACAACTACTAACCTAAGTTTTGAATCTCGGTGAATAGGGTGGCTGCATGAGTGAGTCCATAGTTTTTGCATGTATATATAACATAAAAATAAACCATTTGTCCTGAAAAAGTCTTCCATGAAGATATCGGTTCCTTAGGTAAATAGCCCCCTTGAATTAAACAACCAAATAAACATAATAAAGAGATTATCACTTTCTATTTACTTTTAAAAATCATGTTTTTGGACACTGAATGGTTACAAGTTTAGATCTTTTAAAAATAAATCTTGAATTTAATTAGTTCAATTCTATTAAAATTTAAAAGTTGATATTAAGAGTATTTTAACACTGCCAGTAACTGTAGTCTGTTACTTCAAAATATGAATTTCATGATGGATGACAGCTCTCCTTATGATTGCAAATGGGAGAGGGTGGCAACAGCCTTGAAGTGACTGTTTTAAAGAAAAGACTGTTGTGATAATACAAGCTTCAGCAAATTTTAAATAATAATACATAATATTCGCATTTGGTCAGGAAAAGTTATCAAATATGACAATTTGTCTATAAATGCCTATCCTGTCTGTCTATTCTGCGAATTAAGTAATGAAGTAGAATTTGAATATATATTACCTCTTCTTATCTAATCATAGTTGTGCTTAGCAATAATTTTTTCCAACATTATAAATTTTCATATAATGTAGAATTTGTACTAAATATGGAAGTATTTGTAACAAGCACTTCTTATATTAGTGATTACATTAACATAAAATAATTTTTTGTCTAATATAAAAGTAACCCCCCCCCCCGCCAAAAAAAATATTGAACTTAATGTTCATTTCTCAGAGAATGTACTTCAGGTAAAACACATACTATGTGATTAATTCATTTTGCAAAACAAAGTACTGCATGTTTATAGAATATATAACAGGAACAAAAAAAATTTAATGCACCATTCTGTAAATTTCAAGGTATTTTCTGAAAAAGAAGTTATGCACATTTTTTATTATTTCAAGATTGTGGTGCTATTGAAAATATGCTGAAGGAAAATTTTAAATTAGATTGTAAGATATTTTTTTTAGTGTTCTGGAAGCCCCCCCCCTGCCCGGATTTCACCTTTTTTTTCCAGTATAAATATTAAGGAATGATAAGATTTTTTGTTAAACTGGAGAAGTTATCATGTGTTTAATTATAGAGCTTAATTTGGCTGAGGCATATTTACGGTCAAGCTGACCCTTGCAGACCGTCACTAGCATTAAGCCATTTTTACAAATGTTTGTGCTGCTGAAATAATATTTTAAACTAAAATAATGTATAACCACACGTGCCTAAAATTAGCAGGTGTCTTTTACCATGTGTTCATGTTCCCCAATAGTGATCAAGAGCACGAAATCTCCCCCAGTCAGAGCCGTAAGTTGATGATGGAAGTGCAGTAAATCAGAATATATTTTAACTGTAAATAATTTTGGCTTTTCACAGATCACAAACACTATTTCGTTATTTAAGTATAGCATACATTCACTAAATTTAAGTTGCAAGATATATAATTTTATTAGTGCCACAGTATTGCTATTTGCACTTCCTTCTGTCTTCAAGGATCAAGAGGCTAGCATTCTTTTTGCAAGGTGCTGCAGTAATCTAATAAATTATAAAGTATAGAAACTGGTGCTAAAGTGTATGAGATATTTTTAATTTCGAGTAAGTGTTCTCTGATGCCTTCTTGGTAAGGATAGATTAGGAAGTTTGGTTTGGAATTACATGGTTTAGACCAGGGGTGGTCAACTTCTATGTATATATGATCGACCTTTTTTCGTAAAAATGTGCTATATTCTGTCTACTAAAATCTTGACATTTAACACATTCAAACTTGTCTTCTTATATACTAAGTGGTAATGGGGGAGGATGTTCTAAACCATAATGTATTTATTAACTGAAAGATAGACAGAGAAAAAAATATCAAAAGTCCAATTTTATTATCTTATCCTTAATGGGAAGTCTGAATTTACATGTCTCAAGCCAAACTTTCATAATTTGCTGTGTATTCAAATGAAGATCATGATAATAGATATTCAGAATGGGAATCAATGAGCAGGAATGATGTTCAGTGAGCTTTAAATATGAAAAAACTTATTCCCATAAATATGTAGATCTAAAACAAGTACAGATATATTCGCTAAATTTGGTGAATAATTTTCTCAACTGATGTATTTCCAAAAGTCTTCCTCAAGTACCCTAATTGTAATTTCATTTACAATTTTATTATAACTTTAAATTTATAACTAACTGTAAATAATATAGCTAACTTAATATAATTTATAACTAATAAATTATATCCTTAAATTTATAATTTGAAGGTATAATTTTATATTCTAACTTGCTTTATTCAGTATTAAAATGTAT